GGGGCCCCAGCTGCTCAGGGCCGCCCTGTCGCCTGCCCGAGCCCCGCTGGACCGCATGGCTGCAGCCCCGCGACCGCGGGTGCAGACCCAACACCGCCCTGTCCTCCCGGCCCCTGCGCCCCGCGCCGGCTCACCTCCCTGGGCCTGGGCCGCCGCCTCCTGATCTGGAGCTGTCAGGGTGGTACAGGGTGAAGGGAAGTCCGGTCCCTGGTGGAGGAAGGGGTGGGGAGTGGTGTGGACTGGGCCTCAGGGGCAGGGCAGCAGGACCGGCGACCTGACCTCTCTCCTGGCCAGGTGCCTGGAGGTGGGTCCGCAGGTCGGTCGAGCCACCCATCCACCAAGGGTGCTGAGCTCAGACCAGGGAATGTTCCGCCAGTCCCCAGCGCGGTGCCCTCCACGGCGACGTGTGCTCCCTGTCACTCACCCCCATCTCAGCGAGCCTGTCTTGACGGGTGTCATCTGCCTGGAGCCTAGGCACAGGGACAGGGCGTTTCCAGGGGAAGGGCCCAGGCCTTTGGGCAGCCCACTCTGACCTCTCACCTGGGTGCCGGCTCCGCAGCGGCCTCTCCCCCAGCACTGCCCACAGTCTGGCCTCCTGGCCGGGAGAGATTTTGTGAGTAGGGTTCTCAAGAGGACTCGCGGGACCCAGAATTGGGCAGTGGGCCCTGGGGGGTGGGGGGCTCCAGGGCCCTTTAGCCAGTGTCCTGGACAGCTCAAGGCCCTCCCGCCTGCCCCAGGGACCCCTCTTACCCCGGGAGCTCTTCTTCTTGCGCATAGAGGCTCGGACTAGGTCAGAACCAACCCCAGCCCGAGGGTGTCGCTGGGCGCGTGCTTCCTGGAACCAGTCCCCGGTCAGGACTTTCAGCTGCCCAGGGTCTACCAGCGAGGCCCGGAGCTTGCTAGAGAATGGCAGAGGGTGTGGCCGTCACCACTTACCCAGCCAGTGTTACTGGCTCCAGATCGGACTGCACCAGGGACCAGGTGTCCAGCAGCATACTGGCCTTGACCGTGCTCTGGAAGCCAAGACCGGAAGAGCCCTATGCTGTGGCCAGGCAGGTGCTGCAATGGGTGTAAGGCCCAGCTCTGCCCGTGGAAGCCCAGGAGGGCTTCCCAGAGGTGGTGACATTTGACTAGCCTTTTTAAAAAATTATCCACTTTATTTTATTTATTGTTATTTTTAAATTTCACCAGAGAGAGAGAGAGAGTGAGGAAAATGAGAAAGCAAGCCACCAGGTCTGGGACTCAAACTGCGGTCAGCGATGTGGGAGTCCAGTGCCCTTAATGACCATGGCACCTGTCGGCCCCGTGACTAGCTTTTGAAAGGGCAAGCTGGACTTGTGCACTAGAGGGCTACTGTGCAGCCCTCTGGCCTCTGAAGCAGGATGCAGTGACCAGCTGAGGGTGTGGTGCTCAGGCAGTCGGGACTTGCCCGAGGTGCAGAGTGGGAGCACCCAGTGCTTGGAACCCCCATGCCCCTTCATGTAGCGTGTGGGGCTAGTGGGAGCGATGGGGGTTGGCAGGGAACAGTCAGGGAGGACTCGGCCATGACTGTGAGCTTGCCTTTGACATGGCGCTGAGGGACAGGGCTGGTGCTGAGCCTTGAGCAAACCCGGGCCCACTCGGACACCTCCCAGCCCCAAGGCCCTTCCTCCTGGGCCTGCCCGCCTCACCTGACCCGTCCCTCCTCCAGCTGGCGCAGGTGGGCATCTCTTTGGAGGACATTGGCAATGGCCTCCTGCTCCTCCTCTGTCAGGAAACTGAGGTCCAGCGGCGTGTCAGCCTCAGGCTCTGGCCCCTGCGCCATGGGGAAGGCCAGCAGGCCCCAAGTCCTCTCCAGATGGGCGGCCCCCTGGGGCATCAGTTCCGGCTGCAGCTCCCTGGGGGCAGCCAAGGGTCAGGCAAGGTCCTGCGGAAGCACATGGCACCTCCTGGCGCCCACTGTGCTCGGCTCCCGGCGTGTGCACCCAGTGGTGGGTGGGTGCGGCCCTGGAAGGGTCAGGCCAAGGCTCAGATGCACTTGCAGAGGCCCAGGGACACATTGCGGCACAGCCACGGGGCACGAACGCTACCGGCACATGCTTGTCCCCGTGAAGGGCCTGCACAGGCACAGGCACAGGCCCACGTCCCCCAGGGACACATGACACTCTCCTTGCTCCGCACATAGCATCCACACACAGGCAGACCTGACCAGGTCAGCTCATCCGGGGGCACACATGGCCCTTCCACGCAGACCACGCAGGCTTCTGGTGGACTGGGTGGGGAGCTCTCTGGAGGCAGGGACAGGACAAGGGCGGCACAGCAGTCACGTCGCTGGACTTTCTCAAGGCCAGCTGCCGTTCACATCCCGGACCTGGACGCTGCGTGTGTGCGCGTGCGTGTCCAAGATCCCGGGAGGAGAGTGGAGAAGGGATTATGGGTGGCCACCCCCTGGGGGTGATTTCTCACTTTCCCTGTCACTCTTTCTCTTCAGTAACACATTGCGGCACAGCCACGGGGCACGAACGCTACCGGCACATGCTTGTCCCCGTGAAGGGCCTGCACAGGCACAGGCACAGGCCCACGTCCCCCAGGGACACATGACACTCTCCTTGCTCCGCACATAGCATCCACACACAGGCAGACCTGACCAGGTCAGCTCATCCGGGGGCACACATGGCCCTTCCACGCAGACCACGCAGGCTTCTGGTGGACTGGGTGGGGAGCTCTCTGGAGGCAGGGACAGGACAAGGGCGGCACAGCAGTCACGTCGCTGGACTTTCTCAAGGCCAGCTGCCGTTCACATCCCGGACCTGGACGCTGCGTGTGTGCGCGTGCGTGTCCAAGATCCCGGGAGGAGAGTGGAGAAGGGATTATGGGTGGCCACCCCCTGGGGGTGATTTCTCACTTTCCCTGTCACTCTTTCTCTTCAGTAAGCACGTGTACCCTAAGGCAAAAAACATTTTTTTAAAATATTCTGCATGTGCAAATTCTGAATAAATGCAGAAACACGCTCATGTACGCGTGGGAACAAATACACGCATGCACACACAGACACATCCTGCTTGCCCTGCCCTGAAGGCCTCCCATCCTGGGTCCCTAGCTCCCCTTCACCTCTGCCCTGCTGCCCTAGCCCATCTGGCTTACCTGTGTGAGGCAACCTCCCGAGTGCCACACCCACTCCTGCCCAGGTCTTCAGCTGCCGCCCCTGCAGCAGTCCTGCCCCTACCTGGACCCCTGAGCCCTTCTGCTGTGGCCTTCTCCCCCTCCAAGACCTAGCGAGGGTCCAGCAGAGGAACCTGGGCTGGTCAAGCCATGGTGATGAAAGGAAGACATCTGCCCAACCCCGAGGGGCGTGCAGACGTGGCAAGGGGCCACGACTGCCGAAGCTGTGGCCTGAGCCCGTGGGCGGTCCCTCCTTTCCTGCCCGCCCCTTCCATGCCAGGGCCCCAGCCGGGCTGTGGGAAGAGGCGGCTCAGCAGGCAAGCAGGCAGGCCCTGGCGTGTGCCCGCTGCCTCTGCACCACCGTCCTCCCAGCTGATTCAGGGCCAGGTTGTAGCCGGTCTTCCCACTGCGAGCCCCCAGCCCTTTGTGCAGGGACAGCCCCAGGCTGCTGTGTCGGGAGTGGGGACACTGCGGGCTCAGTCTGGAGCCCTCCTGTGGCTGCTGTTCCCTGTGGGAGTTTGCTATGGGTACAGGCCTGTCCTGCGGGGGTGTGCTGTCACCCGCACACTCTCTTCTGTGGGATCTGTGCGATGGGCCCTGGGGAGGCTGGGTGTGCACGTCTGAGCGTGGAGGTGAGGGGACGGCCCACAGAACAGGTCTGCCCGGCTAGGCCGTGCTGGGCTGGGCTGGGACAGGAGTTCAGGGTACCTGACCTTCCAGGGGCAGAAGCAAACGCCTGGTCTTCCTTGCCCTGATTCAGCACCACAGGACAGACCACGAGCTCACACGATCTGTCCATCTGTCAGCTGTTACGGCCCCAGACAAGCCCCACCTCCCCCACCCCAGTCCCCAGGTGCCAGAGGACACCAGGCGGCAGGGCCTGCTCTCAGGACACGGGCAGCCTCGGGTATGTTACCTGTAGGGTCCGGCGTGGGAGGACAACTCCACTGATAGCCTATCCCCCTGGCAGCCGTCTTGGGGGCCAGGAGAGCAGTGAGGGACTAAGGCTGACTCAACCAGCTGCCCCGCTGCAGCTGCCCCATGGAGGAGGAGACACCCTAGAGACACCTTAGCAGGGCCTGCTGCAAAACCGGGCCTGGACTGCTGGTGCTGGGTGCGTCCCACAGCTGCCTGCACAGAGCCAGAGCCTTAGGCTGGAGAGGCTTGAGGCTTGGCAGGCCCTGACGCTCAGAGCCTTGGCTCCTGTCTGCAGAATGGGTGCAGCCCCACCCTGCCCACAGAAATGCTGACAGGAACTTCTCTGAAAGCCATTAGGAACGTTTCTTTTGGGCCACTGGCCTGGTGGTTAAGGCAGCTGGATTCCACAGGGTCGACTGCACAGTTCGAGTCTTGGACCTAGTGGCTTGGAAAACATGGTGGGCACATGTGTGTGTGCCCCAAACCCGAGAGTAGAGGCATGGCCATCCCCCCTGGAGAGTGAGTTCTCACTGTCGCTCTCTAGCCAGCTCACGTACCCCATGGCAAATTTAAATAAATAAATATAAGGAGAGATCTTTAAGAACCAGGGTGATGGGATGAGTGCAACCTTGGCAGCTAGCTAACCCTGAGGAGAGTCCCTGCTCCGTGGATGGGTGACCCGAGCGGGCAATGAATCTCGTCGAGCTGTGGTGCAGTGCCGGGAGGGGCCGAGGGCTGCGGCTGTGCCTGCTGGCACACGGTGGGTGCCAGGGCTGCCTCTTCAGCAGCACCAGTGCCCACGGCCACCCCAGCAGCTGGGACACCACTGGGCAGCCCTTGGCCCTCTCGCTGCCCTGGCCCCAGCAGAGGCCTGTCAGAGGCCGGCACCCTCCCAGCATGGTGAGGGTACCATGTCTCTGTGGGAGCCCCTCGAGCCTTCATTCTGTACCAGATTCTGCCTGCTCTGGAAGTGGGAGGCTTGGGCCCTAGACCACTCTGGCTTCAGGACCGCGAACCCTTGGTCTATCTTCAGTCTGGTCCTGGGTACGAGAGTCCAGGCTAGAGCTTCCTGACTCCCCAAGTATACACTGCACCCCACCTGCCTTCCCTGTGCCCGGGGCCCTGGATTAAAGATGAGAAGGCACCTCAGATCCCTGAGAAAGGTGGTGAGGGTGCTTTCTAAATGAAACCCACTCCCCAACATAGGAACGCACTTCTGAAGTTACCACTCCTGGCAGATGGGCCTTCCCTGACCCTCAGCTCAAAGTCAGCCTTTCGTTTTTGTTAGTTTTTGCTACAGGGCATGTGCATTCACCGCAGAGAGACAGAGACAGAGACAGAGAGTGGTGGCGGGGGGAGTGGGCCACGCTGCAATCCCTTCTCCTCCATTCTCCTGTTAGCATTTTTAGCACATGTGCACATGCACCCAGTGTGATTATCAAGCCTCTGGATCCGGATCTGGGATTCGGACTCAAAGTCCGCCATGTGGGGCCCACTCACCTGCTGGCCCCCAGCTTCCATGTTTATTGTTTGCATGTCTCTTTTGTTTTCTGAGCCTTCTTTCCCTCACCTGTTAAGTGGGGCTTTTACTGCAGCTCACAGACCCCTGGAGATTGAACACACACATACACACGTGCACACACACACTCACATGCCCACTGTGGGAGTGTCCCTGTGGTGCCAGCATCTCCACCGAGCTCGCTACTGGAAGCCAGGCCCTGGCACCCGCTCCTCCCCTTGCTGTAGGCCCTGTCCTCCTCCAGGGCCTCTCTCTGGCCCTTTCCCCATTCCTTCCTCCTTTCATTGCCTGCACTCCAGCAAGGCCACCCCCTGAAAAGCCTTGTTTTCGGGACCAGCAGATGGGGTAATGGTTCTGTTCCTGGACTCTCATGTAGTTGACTGCAGTTTGAGTCCTGGACCTGGTGGCTTAAAACACACTGGGCGCATGTGCATGGGTGTCCCAAGATCCTGAGAGAGTGGAAAGGGGATTGTGGCGTGGTCATTCCTCGGGGGGGTCGGTGATTTCTCAGTTCCTGTCTCTGTCTCTCCTACAAGCACACATGCCCTGTAGCAAAGATCTCTTAAAAAACCGTGATTCCACCATCTGGTCTTCAGGCTGGTTCCTGCCTGCTGCCTGCCCTTCTGTAGCAGTGACTCTGACACTGTTCCCAGCCAGTTCTCCTGCTGTCACCTTGGCCTGAGGTCACCCCTGCCTTCAGCCTGTCCTGCTGCCTGGGCCTCGTCCTTGCTGGGCACATCTAGAAGTGGACTCTCCTGGTCTCTGCCAGCATCCCCAGACCTTCACTGCACAGGCCCCTTTCGGACATCCACCTTTGTCTGTTACCCTTCAGGTGTGGGAGTGGACAGCATCCAGCCGGGGTGACCCTCTCGTCCACTCGTGAATTTGCTCGAACCAGCCCTGCCTCACAGTGAAAGCCCAGACACTCCCTGATGGAGATCTCACTCAGCAGCCTCCCTTTAGAGCTGTCCAGTCCCTTGGCCTACCCCTGAGATCGCCACTATGCCCTTAGAGCCTTCTCCACACTTCCTATACTCCCAGCACTCTGGTTCTGGTGCCGAGGTCAGCTTCTTTGTAAGCCTCTGGGCCACCCCCCTGGGTGAGGATGGGTCCTAGTGCAGCTCTGCTCAGGGGTCGGCCCCAACCTGCTGGCCTCACCCTGGCTGAGGACAGCCTGCTGTAGGAAGGTCTTCCCCAGCCGCCTTCCTCCCTTCCCGTGCGTGGCCTTGCATTCCAGAGACCATTCCACAGGACAGCTCTGAGTGGAGCTCTGGGGCCAGGATGCTGGTTCAAACCACGGCCCCGCTCCCAGCCTCTGCGACACTGGCAATGGTCCAGACAAATCAGTGCCCTCTGAGCCTGCACCTTCACTTGGGGGGTGGCTGTGAGGACTGCAGTGCTGACGCAGGCCTAGCTCAGCACATGGCAGCATGGTAGTGCTCAAGGCAGTCTGACGCTGTCTCCCATGGCACCAACTGTCCTGCCAGCTGGGACAGGCCGTGAAGTATCTGCTGGTGTACTCTGCTGTGCTGTCCTCATGCTGGACGGCTTCCTCAACCAACTCAGAGAGATTTCTGAAAATGGAGTCGGCACCTTTGCCTTGCCCTGGAGACACTGCAGCTTGAGTGGCAGAAGCCCGACAGCTGCTGGGCCCGGCCAGGGACCCGGAGCCATTGTCGCTAGTCTGATGGGAGCAATGTGCAACAGGTTGGGGCAGCTTTTTTTTTTTTTTTTAAACTGTTTTTGCCTTAGGGCGCTTACCCTCACAGGAGACAGAGGCAGTAGAAGGCAAGTAAATCACTCCCCAGGGGGATGGCCATGCCATAATCCCTTCTCTCAGGATCTTGGGCACACACGCACACATGCCTGGTGCGAGTTTCAAGCCGCTGGGTCCGGGACCTGAACTGTGGTTGGCCACGGATGTAATTGCGATGCCCTCTGCTGGCCCTCAGGGGAGGCTCTTAAGCCGGGCCTTGGGAAGGTAGCCAGGATGGCAGGGGGCAGGGGGGCAGGACAGGACCAGGTGTGTGGGTGACTGCTCAAGAGGGGCCGTCCTCACACCAGGGACACTGGTGGTCAGGAGTGGGGGCGCTTCGGAGCGAGGCCATGGCCACTGACCAGCAAACACAGAAGAACCAGGTGCTGGGCTTGTCTCCCCACCCAGCTCAGACCTGCCGCAAGCTCCTCCCAACAGCAGCAGCACG